GTCTCCTATTTTCACTAGAAAACTTGATTCTCAAGTCGGTGGTTGCTTCATATGGAAACAACGACACAACACCAAAATAAGTCTCTGCTTTCACAAATTAAAAAATATTAATTTAAATAAAACTTTAGCAAAAATTAGGAGTGATTTTGAAAATTAAAGTCGTTTTCACAATAAAATAACCGCCTACAAAAAGTGCCCACAATGTGTAATTTTTTGATTTTATGCCACTATTACCGAAAACTAATACATCACCCTATAATTGTAGCGTCACAACTGTGAGATGTGTCGCTATTCAGTAGGCGTTAGAGCGAATGTCATATTTTGGCCAAACGACACAACTGCGCCCTCTATTAGTAAAACTCGTAATTCAAGAAATGTCGGTATTGCACATCATAGATATGGTTGATATAATAGTAATCCGCCATTAAACCAGATAAATCTCTCAAAATTTTGAATTGTGCCGTTATTGCAGAGGACCATCGATATATATATAGTATTATTATATATATATATTATATATATATATATATATTCATATATATATATAGTATATATATATATATAATAATAATATAATAATAAACAAATATTTTCACACATTATATTTAATTTATATTATTTTTTTCTAATTTCGAAAAATATATATTATATATATATATATAGTATATATATATATATATATATATATATATAAATATATATATACTATATATATATATATATATATATAAAAAGAAGAAAAAACGGCTCAGCCCTCAACAACTCGCAACCGCACACACCAGTGTACACCAGTGCAGACACGCACACCCACACACTCACACAACCACACCTACACTAGTGCACACTGATGTAACTGCCTTCAGGCTTCATCAGTACGGTAAGGATTCAGGAAGCGAAGAAACCGATCCCAAATCACAAAAATCCAGGAAGCAAACGATGCAACGAGGCACCGTATGCAACCCAGGAGATGGAAAAAAAATTTGATGAAGGAACGAAAATAAATGATGGGAAAAAAAAGGAGCAAACGGGAGCCTAAAGCCCCAATTTGCAGCCAAGAAGTGCGGTTGCGAGTTGTTGAGGGCTGAGCCGTTTAATCTTTTTTCTTCTTTTTTTATACATTTCCCTCACTATTTCTTTCTCTTTTATATAATACTTATATCATTATACTATATTATAATAATTATAATATAGATATATATAATATATATATATATATATATATATATATATATAATAATATATACTATATTATATATATTATATATATATAATATTATATATATATATATATATAGATATATATAATACTATTATATTATATATATATATATATATATATATATATATATAATATATAATAATATATAAAATATATATAAAAAATATGGTGCCGATGTTTCTCGAATACAATTCGAACCACCCTGTATATTAATGAAATATAAGAGTCTAATTTAATCTGATATAAACACATTGGACATTTGTAGATATTATGCAGGATGTCTCAAAATTCTATTGACCTAAATGGAGGCAAAATTTCGCAGAAAATATTTGAAAGTTGAATTTGAAAAAAATTGTTTTCATTTGAAATTTGAAGTTGTTTTTTTTTCAAACAGTATACCTGTAAAAGATGGTTGGTTTCGAAGCTTCTTATAATTTCCTGTACAGTTCCCATATTGAAAAACAGACTGATTGTTTTAACCAGAGTAGTCAAAAACGTACAGACTATATACAAACTTCCTGTAATTTCTTTAATGTTACCCAATTGCAAAATAATATAAACAATTTGTGGCAAAATAAAAAATAGAATTATAGCAAAACCAAAACAAGTGTACAAGAAATAAAGAGTTTTAAATTTTGATTTTTCTGACAAACTCCAAAAACCGAGACACAGAAATAATTTCTCATTTTTTGAAAACATTTTCTAAAAGTTAGTCAATATAACCGAACTAATTCAAGACAATATTTTTGTTTTATTATGTTATTTTTATATTGAACCGGAATTATATAGTCTGGCAGCAAACCAGTTAAATCACAAAAATTATATTTCTATACCAGTCTAAGTTTTATTACATGCTTTATAGCTATTCATTAATATCAATATTTCATATCTATTATACAGGGTGTTTCAAAAAACATGTGCCATTTCCCGTGCTGACATTCCTCATGTAAATATAAGATTTATTTTTCAAATCAACATAGGTCCTATTCTGCTTTGTTCCGTAGATACAGTGAGTTAAAGTCTTTTTTTTTAATTTATTATAATTTTTTTAAGTGTTTTTAGCGATTTGAATGAAATTTTGAAGGTTAAAGTTACTATAAGTGCTACATATTTTAATGCCAAAAACAAGTGTCGATAGATTTACCAGAGACGTGCATATGGGTTATTACTGGAATATTTTTCTTAAAAACATTCGCTAAAAGCACTTGGAAGAAAATTATAATAAATCGAAAAAAAGTTAAGTTAAGACTTTAACACCCTGTAGCTAGGAAACAAAGCAAAATCGGACCTATGTTGATATGAAAAATAAATTTTATTTTTCACAAGAGATGGTACATGTTTTTTGAAACACCCTGTATACATGGTGGTCCAAAAAAAAAGATTAGTTTTATTAAAATTGTTTTTATAAATATATTTGTAATAAAAATTAATAAGTTATAATAATTTTTTAATAACAAAAATATCAGATACGCTACCGAAACACAAAAGTCAAATTATTACAACTTTTTGTTTTATTTTTATTTGCAGAATCATCCACCGAAGTTTTAGATATACTATTTTTTTGACACCCTGTATATTTTTGAATGTATAAAATTTTTATAGGCCTGAATTATACTATCACGAACCTACCAATTTTCAAAAATTATGTTTTTATTTTAGCGTTTAGTTTATTATATGCCTAAGCTTTTATTGTTTGCTTTTTCTTTTCAAGCGTTTATTATAGTAATAGATCCCTGTTTGAGGTAATACTGTTGAATATTACCATAATTAATTAGTAATATCATGTAAGATTATAGTTGGGGGTATCATGTAAACCTTAATTTATTATTTATATCCAATAATAACAAGAACTTTTTTCTATCTCCATTAAATATTAGAATTGAATTAATCTCCATTGGCGTACCAGTGTATATTTGGCTCTAAAAGTTTTTAGAGCCAAATATAGACTGTTTTTTTTTATGAAAACACACTTTCTGGTAATTTTTTCACTTTTTTAAAATGAGTGGAAGGGGTTGAAATAAACTACCCCTATCATTCTTGTTAACGAAATTTAAAGAAAAATCTTATCAAACACATGCAAAAAATTAAAATAGATAGTTAAAATTAATTTAGATAGTTTAGTTTGTTTAGAAGCTTTTTTATCTCTTGTGTTTTTTTGATAAAACTCACCGATTTGAAATTAAAAAATAAAATGTAAAGCATTACATGTCAGAACAAAAAACATTTTTAGATTAAGAATCTAGTGATAATAACGATAATAATAATCATCTAGATAATAACGTATTGCAGTAGAGTAATGTCAAATAAAATAATATTAGGAACATCCTAAAAAGTAACAGCGGCCGACTAGATTTTTTCCTAAAAAAATTACAGCAGCCTACTAGATTCTTTATCAGAAAATGTTTTTTGTCCTGGCATGTAATGCTTTACATTGTATTTTTTAATTTCAAATCGGTGAGTTTTATCAAAAAAAATACAAGAGATAAAAAAGTTTCTAAACAAACTAAACTATCCAAATTATTTTTTTTGCATGTGTTTGATAAGCTTTTTCTTTAAATTTCGTTAACAAGAATGATAGGGGTAGTTTATTTCAACCCTTTCCACTCATTTTAAAAAAGTGAAAAAAATACCAGAAAGTGTGTTTTCATAACAGTAATGCTTCCATAAAATTTTATTAGTCTATCGCTTTTCGTTTTCAAGATAAAAAATAAAAACATTATTTTTCCGCCATCTTTGTACCGCGATATCTCCCTAATGGTTGACTTTTGACCCAACGTTTATGAAGCAAACTACCCTTTATTTTGAACAAGGAATCACCCCCTGAAGTTTTTCGCATTTGTTTTGAAACACCCTGTATATGTTTTACATAAAAAATAACAGCCATCTTCATTTCATAGCCATCGCTGACTTTTTTCGATTGTATTATATTTATTACTAAACATTTTTCTTTTTTTTCAGATATACAGGGTGGCGTCTCTCATACTCATACGCCGCGAAGGCTCCAAGGAGAACGACAGTTTGTATTGAAATTAAATTTTGTGAGCATATGTAAGTTAATTCGGAGCACTTTTTAAAAATATAGAGAGTTCTACAGAGTATCCCCCAAAAAAGGTACATATACCGGAATAATATGCTGGGTGTTCTATTTAAAATATACTCCTTTATTTTAAATAGAACATACTTGCTTTTAAAAGTGGCTAATGTTCGATATTCTCCATCTATTGAAAAAATAATATACAGGGTGTCCCATTTAAAAAAACAAAGAAAAATTATTGTATATTTTAGAAAGTTTGGCGTAGAATTTTGGACATCCTGTATGATTTACGATTTCCATATTTATAGCAAAGTAAGTACAGACCATCTAGAGTAAATATCTAATACAGTTTTGATATCAGGACAGTTCTTGTATTATTAATAATTTATCTTCGCCATTTTGTCAAGTAAAAATACAATAATAATTATTAACATCTGGGTACTTTAAATTTATTATACAAAGGATAATTATTGAATATCGCATGATCCAATAAAAACAGCGTCAGCGATGGCTACGAAATGAAGATCGCTGTCATTTTAAATGTAAAATTATATGGGAAATGTCGTCGATCGTCATTTCCAAAAGCCAACTGGACGCCGTTTTTTCGATCATACGGTACATTCCAATATAGAAACACTCAATTTAATTAATAAATAAAAACGGTCTGCTTTTACAGACTGTGGCCAACTATTTAATGGAAAAATATCAAAATAATTTAATAGTCTTGTATTATGTTTACACACTTACCTGCCAAATGTAATTCCAGAAGTTTTCTTATATCAACACTTTGTCGGCTTCAACATATCCACTATTTTGAAATTTTATAATTTTTGAGGAATTGCGCAGTTAATTGACATTTTTCCACAATGTTATTATGTTATTATATAACAAATAGGTGGAGAATTTAATTTTCTACAACTTTTATATAAATAATTTTGTAAAAAATAATTATTTCCTGTATTAATTAACAAAAAGTGTTTAAAATCAGGAGATAAACGTGATATTTTCATAATTCCTGTAAAATAATTTAAACATAAAAGTTGTTAATAAATTGAAAAAATCAAGTTTGCTTCCTTAATTGTTAGTTAGCGTGTATTCTTAATCTATGGTATGTATGTATCTAAAATAAGAATGAGGTAAATAGATCCAACCCTGGAAATCATATAAAAAAATTATCCACTTTAATTTTTAAAGCCCAAATGATGTTAAAGTCACGATTCTGTTCATAAAGAGAAAACAAAATAAGTAAATAAATACGTTTCTTTAATCTTTTACAAATTTTTGCATGTAATGTAATATAAATTTGTTACAATTCAGAATCATCATATACGATCACTGAAAATATATCGATACGATACCCTCATCTCTATTTACCCGCATGCGATACCTGTCATCTGTCATTTATTTTAGGTTAGGTTAATTTTGTATTTTGGAAATGTGTATGGTATTTTTTTACTAAAGATTTGATTTCTTTGATTTACAATGACATCAAATTCATATACCGATATAATTCGTACCATAAAAGATGACGAAGATGTCGAAGATTTTTCCGAAAACTCGGACGTTGAAGTAGAATTCCAGCCTTCCAAGCAAAGTAATAAAGAGAAAAAGGATTTCGATACTGCCTTTAAATTTGTGTCATCAGTGAACGAATACAACACTGATTCTTGGAACGATTTAAAGAAATATATCAAAAGGAAAGCAAAGTCAAAGACAGACGATAAAATTAAGAAGATCCTTAATACAGAAATAAATGAAGAAGATATAAAAGATGAAGATGAAGACAAATCAGATTCCGAAGTATCTATATCAGATGACGAATTGAAACACGACAAAATAAAAGAGAAAAAGGACAAGAAGAAAAAGAAAAAACACCCTTTGCAAGAGGATTTCTTTGATGATAGCATTAATGTAAACACCGACCACTCCAGTTTTTATGAAATGAACTTGTCAAGACCTTTATTAAAGGCTATCACTGACATGAAGTTTGTTCATCCCACACCTATACAAGCCTCCACTATCCCTATAGCTTTACTAGGCCGTGATGTTTGTGGTTGTGCTGCTACAGGTACCGGTAAAACAGCCGCTTACATGTTACCAACTTTAGAAAGATTACTATACAGACCTTCAGGAGGCACTTCAGTAACCAGAGTATTAGTTTTGGTGCCCACACGTGAATTAGGTGTCCAAGTGTATCAAGTATCTAAACAAATCTGTCAGTATACCGATATACAGATAGGTCTAGCCGTAGGCGGGTTGGATCTAAAAACTCAAGAGAATGTTTTGAGAAAGAACCCTGACATAGTGATTGCTACACCAGGACGGCTTATCGATCATTTAAAAAGTACTCCAACATTTGGTTTGGAGTCAATCGAAGTTTTGATTTTAGATGAGGCCGACAGAATGTTGGATGAATATTTTGCTGAGCAAATGAAAGAGATCATTAAGCAGTGTTCCAGAACGAGACAGACTATGTTATTTTCCGCTACAATGACTGATGAAGTGGAAGATTTAGCTGCTATGTCTTTAGTTAAACCTGTTCGTTTATTTGTGGATAGTAACAAAGATGTGGCATTTAATTTAAGGCAAGAATTTATAAGAATTAGAGCTGGTAAAGAAGGGGACAGAGAACCAATCCTAGCTGCTTTGGTATGTAGAACTTTCCGGGAGAGCTGTATGATTTTTGTTCAGACAAAGAAACAAGCGCACCGTATCCATATTTTGCTTGGTCTACTTGGATTGAAGGTTGCAGAACTTCATGGGAATCTTACCCAACCGCAGAGACTGGATGCCCTTGAAAAATTCAAAAATAAATCAGTTGATATTCTTGTAGCTACAGATGTTGCTGCTAGAGGATTAGATATATCGGGAGTTCAAACTGTCATTAATTTTGTAATGCCTGCGGTAGTTGAGCAGTATATTCATAGAGTTGGAAGGACTGCTCGAGCTGGTAGAGCAGGAGTATCTGTGAGTTTGGCTGGTGAACAGGAAAGGAAAATCGTGAAAGAAATTATAAAAAAGGCCAAAAACCCAGTGAAGAGCAGAGTTATTCCGCCGGATATTGTAGATAAATATCGACAAAAGTTGGAAAAATTGGAGACTCAAATTGAGCAGATTTTAAATGAGGAAGAAGAGGAGAGACTACTAAACAAAGCAGAAAATCAGGCTAATAAAGCACAAAAACTACTGAAAGGTGAAAAGGAACCAGTGAGGCCCTGGTTTCAAACAAAAAAGCAGAGAAAACAGGAACAAGAAAAATTAAGCTTAAGCAAGAAACGAAAATCACATTTCGCAGAGCCTGTAAATGGAAAAAAAAGGAAGGTGAAAGTGAAGAAATAGAGTAGGCAACTTAATTTAAATGTATTAATTAATGCTTAATAAATTTATATTGTTAATTTATGTTTCAATTAAAACCTTTGTATAAAAAAACGTAGAGGTAAGTATTTACACAACCAAGAACAAAAAAAAATATTTTATTATACAATCCTACCAGACTAGAAGAACTAATATATTACAGGTAAGTATATACAAAAATTTGTTTTTGTAAATTCATACTTCATCTTTCTCTTCCCATGGCCGGGGACCTCTTACTTGTTCCCAGTTGTCTATATCCATATTCTTAATTTTTTCATATTCGCTTTCGAGAGTAACTTCCCCAGGTTTTTTCATATCTATTCCAAGTTTCTTGGCCTCTTCATAATTGACTGCTGATACGTTTCTAAACTGGTAGCTACAGCAAAGAAAAAAGCATAAGATTGATTTAATTACAATAAGGAAATTTTAAATACCTATAATAAATAATAAAAAAACTAAGTTTTAAATGCTTTAAAAATAAATATATTATGAACCTTACCGCAAGTTTGTAAATTCTTTTAAACCGAATGAACCTCCCAACATTAAAAGTAAAAAAGGAACACCATATTTTACTGATCTCTTTTTGAGAAATTTAGATATATTAATCTTAAAAGGTAAGTTATTCATATTTAAATTATTACTGTTTAATTTTTAAAATTCATAATTCCACAAAAACTGTGGTTAGAAATTAATTACCTTGTCAAATCATCGCCACAGAAGAAAGTATACATTTTTAAATGCGATAAAGTCGATACAAAATGTTCATCTCTATATCCTCCAATTAAGCTGTGGTGCTATGGTTAAACCTGTTTTGTTTTGTTTTGTTTTTTTTTCATTAAATTTTAACCTAAATCTCACACTGCTATGGTATTTTTTTTGTTTTTAAAAAATATCCAGTATTTTTCTCAATTCAGAATATTTACAATATCAAAAATGGCAAAAAGCAAGTTCGAATACGTAAGGGGCTTTGAAACAGAAGACTATCTTTTACCCAACTGTTGGATAGTTGTTAGAATCGATGGTAAAGACTTCCACAAGTTCTCGAAGAAGCACAATTTTGAGAAACCAAACGATCGACGAGCACTTAGCCTGATGAACAGAGCTGCCGTTTCTGTGATGGAAGAATACAAAGATGTGTTGTTGGGATATGGTCAAAGTGATGAATACTCTTTCGTTATTCGTAAAGACTCTACGATATATAATAGAAGGAGAAGTAAAATAACAACGTATATTAGTAGCCTGTTTTCATCCTCGTACGTGTACTATTGGAAAGATTATTTTAACGATATAAAATTGAAGTATCCACCATCTTTTGATTCTCGGTGCATACTTTATCCAACCAACGAGAATCTAAGAGATTATTTGAGTTGGAGGCAGGCAGATTGTCACATAAATAACCTTTATAATACTACGTTTTGGGCGCTAGTTTTAAAAGGAGGCCTAACTAATGCCGAAGCCGAGAAAAGACTTTGTGGGACACTTTCTAGTGATAAAAATGAGATTCTGTTTAGTGAATTTGATACAAACTATAATAACGAAGCGTTAATCTATAGGAAAGGAACGATACTGCTTAAGAAGAGGATTAAGCACCCGACAACTGGGAAAAATAGACTTGTTATATATCCTCTACACGAAGATCTGATTCAGGATGTGTTTTGGAGGACAAACAGTGAAATTTTGGAGATTAAGAGTTGTGGTTTCTATGAGGTTTCGCAAGACATTGAATTGCCAGATCTTGTCCTGACACAGTTACATAGTTTTAAAAGTTCAGAATTATCAGATAAGAGTGAAAAAATATCATGACTATTTTTGTTTTAAATTAATAATAGTAATTATATGTTTTTTACTTGTTTCTATGAAAATAATGTATAAATATGTTAATAAAATTTTAAATTTTAATTTAAACAGTACCCAGCAAATACATAATTTGGTGATAACATAAATTTATATAATTTAAAATATAAACTTCTATACCTATATATCTCTGGTCAAAGTTCGTTGTCTCTCCATATCTCTGGTACGCCAAAGTCCATAATATATTTGGTAATCTGTGGTTTTTATTTGTTTTTGTTTTTTGGTTTTTATATTAACAAATTTTTTAAAAGAAATAATGTTTTTTTGTTGTGGGCTTTTAAAAGTATAATAATGGTTTTTGATGCACCGGTGGAACGAATCGAAACCTAAGATACGTTTTAGTATAAATCAAAATAAATTTTATTTAGATTTGGGATAAAGATCTTAATATATTATGGATAAAATAAAACGTTGTTTGGTTTGTGGAAATAGTGACTACGAAGTGGAAAGAATGCACCAGTTTCCTAGGAATCTTGAACAGTAAATATATGGGTATCCCAAGTATACTGATGTTAAATAATATTGTTTATTAGATCAAAAAAATGGCAGGAATCTTTGGGGATGAAATACATGCCGGGAATTTCACTTAACAGTTATTACATTTGTACTAATCATTTTACGGCCGATTCATATTACAACAATGTTACGGGGAGGCTGTTTCGTCATGCTATTCCCACTTTAAATCCAGCAGTTAATGGTTCGAATGCTGAGAATTTAAATAACACCACCACAGGTAACGATAATTAGTCTTATCTACATTATTTACTTTACTTTTTGTATTTGATAATTTTATTTATAATATATATTGTATAGAGGAAGTTTAACGGAACATACATTTTCTATTGTTTCAGTATCTACACAAAATACCGTATGATTGAATAAAAACGGCGTCAGCGATGGCTATGAAATGACGATCGATGACATTTCCCATATAATTTTACATATAAAATGACAGCAATTTTCATTTCATAGCCATTGCTGACGCCGTTTTTATTCGATCATACAGTAAAAAAATATATTATGCATGAAATGTCCAATGACAGACAACTATCAATTGTCTATAATCTCGCTGGACAGATTATACTTAACTTTAACTGATTTATTTTTCGTTTATTGCTGTTATATGCGTCTGGATATCATAAAGAACTGTATACAGGGTACGGCAATAGTGTGTCGGGTATCTGTAGCTCCTAGACTAAAAAACTTAGGAATTTTATTTAAGTGCAAACATAAAGTATGTACTAGGACTAGGAGGTATTTCAGGAAAATATTTTAAATTCTATAGGGTGGCTCAAAAAAGTGTGAGTGGATTGGGATGATTTTTTTAAATGGAACACCCTGTATTTTATTGCATTTTTAGCTTCCTTTCAGATCACTTTACTTAAGTCCCGTTCTCAGAACTGCGACTGTCGCCAGCGACACGACAAAAGAACCAATCAGATTTGTGCAAAATTCAAACAGCTGTCAATTTTAAATTTAGTACAGCTCCCATTGGTTGTTTGAAGTGTCAATCAGTGTCGCTGTCGACACGACGCAGTTCTGAGAACGGGGCTTTAGTCTTAAGATATGAGTAAATATATTTCGATAGTTTCAGAGATATTAATAAATAAATAAATAAAAAATATATTTTTTTGCCTTTCTTAAAAAAAATATTAAAAATACAAGAATTGTCCTGAAATCAAAACTGTGTTAGATATTTAATTTAGATAGTGTGTTCTTACTTTGCTATAAACGTGGTAATCGTAAATCATACAGGATGTACAAAATTCTAAAAGGCTTCTGATTTATTTCGTATTTTTCGTTTTCGATGATCTCCAACGCAAACATCAAATTTAGACTCATCGCTAAATATGACCTTACTCCAATCATTTTGTGTCCACGATAATTTAGATTTTGCCCAATTATAGCGATTTTTCTTTTTAATTTCTGTCAGTAGCGGTTTTTCTTTGGCCTAAATAAGAATTTGTATCAATAATCTTCAGGTAATTGATTATCCACACAAAATAAAGTTTACCTTGTAAAATCCCAGACCGCATTTATGGATATATTTTCGGCAACATTCTCTTGATATATTTAAACCAGTTACAGTATTTCATTTAATTGTTACTTCGCGAAGAGTGCTTCTTCTCGCAGACTTGCAATATTTTACTAAATTTCGTAAATCTCTCTGAGATACAACTTTTGGCCTTCCCGAACTTTTACCTCTAACGTCTACCTTGATTCGCCGTATTTTTTTATTATATTAAAGACCGTGGTTTTTGGAATACTTAATCATCAGAAATATTTCGAATTGTTTTTCCCGTACTGTATTGACGAATTATAATTTCGCGTAGTTTTGTAAACCTCACTACTCAAACTATCGAGTCACTTACAAGCTGTCAATGCTGAAGTAAACTGTTTGCGACATTTGTGACGTTTATAGCAAAGCCGGCTATGATGATATTAATTATTTAAAAATACTTGTCCCAATACTTGAACAAAATCCGCTACTGTAAATATGGATTGATTTACAAATTGGCTATGTTTATATTTAAAAAATTAAACATATATTTTTCAGTCATTTTGAAAAACGAGGGCAATAATTCCAAAATATGACTTTGTCCCAACATATAGTTGTTAGGGCTCGTAGAAGCTACAAATGTCCGACGCACTTTTGCCGGACCCTGAATATTCTTTCGCTGAGCAGACTATACTTGAAATTTGACTGGTTTATTTGTCATTTGTCGGGGTTACGTGTGTCTGGATATAATGAAAAATAAATGTACAGCGTCATTTACTTTCAGAAGACACTGCCAATGTTCCTGATAGCGACTGTAGTCAGACTTGCCCCTCAGTTTTGGAAGAGGTTTCAAACAATACCACAGACTTACCTAGACCACCCATAGCCAGTCAGCCTCAAACTAGGGTAGATATGATACCAGGTGGTAAGTAAAAAACATTTAAATAAATATTTTATTTTTTATTAAATTAATTTACATACAGGGTTGCCATCAATAGTGCGTCAGGCATCTGTAGCCAGGGGGGTGACAGTGAAATAGGAAAATTGGAAACAGTCATTAGTGTCATTCCTGTCATCTCCTGACGACAAGTATGGCCGCCTAGACAAGGACAACGATGTTTCTGTCTAACTATTGTCTAACTTCACAGTTTAGAATTGACAGATTTGTTCTAGAACAAATCGAACAAATTTCGACGCCATTTTAATTCTCCCCGTTTAGTTTTGTTTTGTAAATTCAATTTGATATTTCGCCTGAAATTTGTAAATATAAAGGTAATAAAGCATATAAAATATATATTACATGAAAAATCCTGGAGAAAAAGACGTTTCTGCAGTACTAGGTATGTTCCATGTATATTAAAAATAGGTAGTAAATAAACACTATTTTCCATGTTTTTTAGATGCAAGAAAATTTTGTTATATGTTTATGATCGGCGATTTTATTGAAAATGGAAACAATTTACAGCAAGGTAAGATCATTTTTAACTATAGCCAATATTAGTTATCTCCAGTATGTGCGATTTATTGTCAATAATACACAATAAATCTGTCTGATACAATCTGATTGTTATCCGATTAAAAGTCTCTTTTTACTTCTTTTGGATTCATAAACCAGGTCTCTTTGGGAATAATGGAGCTTTTTTAACTAGTATATTTATATTTTATACCTATATTGATATTTTTACATTGTTAATTTTAGTATAAAAAATGTGTTTTTCTGTTTTCAGGTTTGGTTTGTTATGGTATAAGGCTCCCGTTTTCATGTTCCTGCCCCCGTTTTCTGTTTCTGAAGGCTGTTAATACGTGTATTTATTTACAAATTACTGTAAGTCATGCTTATACCTTACTAATTTACGTTAAAACTGCATATAATTAAGTAATTGATATAGAAATCATTCAATTCTTTATTTTTTTATATTTATTTAGTCACGTTGTCTCACATTTCAAATAAATATGTTTGAATAAATTTTTATTTTGTTTTATTTATGATAAGAAAGAGTACAAAATACATTTAAACTGAAAGAGGTGCCCGCCATTGAATAACCGGAAACGGAAATAAAAATGAAGCCATCATGTCAACCTGTCAATTGAAAATTAGTTCTCCAGACGACAACGAAGGCTTTCGGTGGCGTATCGTGTTTCCACGATTTAACACAGAGTTGACACTTCTTTCTAGTTAATTATTTTATGTCTGTAGCTCCTAGAATAAAACACTTGGGAATTTCGTTTAAGTCCAAACCTAAAGCTGTGCCTAAAGTATGTACTGGGATGTATTTCAGATAAATATTATAACTTCTATAGCGTGGCTCAAAAAAGTGTGAGGGGATCGGGATGATTTTTATAAATGGAACACATTTTTTGTATCTAGAGTATTTCAAAATTTTTAACGGTTTCGCAGATACTTGCGGTATTATTTCATATCGTCAGTGAAACGTGATAACCGGCTAACTCCATTTTTTACATTAATAAGTTTTTTTACACCATTAGAAAGAGAAAAAAATACTCTGTAAGTAGGCAAAGCAAATACATTTTTCCCATTAAAGAAAATTTGCTATTTTAACTCAATAATATCTGCTAACTCCCAGTGATCTGAAATAGCCACCGAAATGCTGCTATCTCCGTAATTTCCATTACGATCACGCTAAAGCAAACACACGGATTCTTATTCGTATGTTTCTTTAGTACAGTACGTCGATCCAGGGTCGCACTAGGCCAAATGGGCCCGGCTGGGTTTTTTGCGTATTTTTTCGCCTTACGTTTGGTCAATTTTTCCCTATTATATACGGGATGAGTCTTAAATAAGTGCAAATATTTTTAGGGGTAGTATATTTCGACCAAAGAAACACGATTATGAGGTTTTTTGCGCGATTTTTTTTTTTGAAAATTTGGAATTTTAAAAAAAAAAATTGGAATTTATTATAAAGGGGGTCCGCGAAGGCTGGGGGGGGGTCCTCCTAATAGTTATATATGTATAATATAGCCGGTCTGACCCTGCGTTGATCCGGTCTGGTAATACGGGGTATCCGTAAAGGGTAAGGGGAAAAACGAAATTCTCTATATATAGTCTATAAAATAAATAACTTTGAATTTTGACCATTGCCTGGAAACTTATATGGTGAAATTTTGATAAAATAATTTAGTACTCACTAAAAACACGGTACGTCGCTAGTGGTAGGAAAAATAATTTTTAGAGGTTACTAGTTTATTTGGTTGCCTGTGATATGCATATACAGGGTGTTTCCTAATTAATCTAAAAAATAAAAAATCGTTAGAAAACGGCTTAAGGCGGGCTCTTAATAAGTATATTTATTTTTTTCTCGGCAACCGTTTGATGAACAAGAAAAACTCAAAAGATCAATTTTGTTGAAAAAGGATAGCCAGTCAAGAAAAAAATATATTTTCTTCAACAAAGCAGTAGTGTACCATTTATGTTAAGCAAAATATCGATTTTTTTTTTAATTTTTAACACCCTGTAGATCAGAAAGGAAGTACTTTAGACCCAATGGTTATATAAAAATTGTTTTAAGAAGACATGAGGAATTACATCACAATTTTTTAGACTAATTAGAAAAAACCCTGTATATTGTCAACTTGACAATGATTGTTGATACATCAAAAAATACCTTTTCTGTGAAAAAAGCCCGATTTTCGCGGGAAAATTGTTGGTTTTTATTGAATTTGGGCCTGCGTCTGCAAATACCGGTATGTGTTTTAATATTCTATCTATCTAAATTTTAAATATCATAGTCAGAAATAGTTTTATTATTTATTAACTATAAAAATGGTATACTTATAAGTTTTGTCAAATATTGTGATTTACTTTCTACCTTGTAGTCAAAATTTATATTTAATAAACTGTAAAATATATATATATATATATATTCTCTTATGTTTTATTAAAGTTACTCTGATATACTAATATATCAGTGTAACTTTAAAACTAAATCCTTTGAAATCAAATATAAACATAAAAAATATTTACAGTAGAAAAGGCGAAGGCGCTGGGTTAAACGTAGTCTCTACTAAGAACACGGAGGGGCGCTTTGACCCAAAATTTTACTATTAAGTTTCATATCTATCTTAATAGAAGATTATTTTCTTTTATCTATGATTTTGACCGTTATTTTTTACCAACATGGCAAATATAAAATCCCTCTATCAAAAAAGTTGCTGATATTCTTTAAGTTTTCTTTAAATTGAGTGCCTGAACGAATCAGATAGGTAACTCTTTTTACTTACGTGAAATAGAAAAGGAAAATAATAAAACAAGTGACAGTTCTTCCTCTTCTTGCAAAAATCAACACGAAATGGCATAATTGTCAAAAGTAAAATGTCATCAGCTTTTGACATTTCTAAATATCAGACCAATTCCGTCTGTAATAGAACAGCCTCGGTGCGAGATTTATGACGTCACGCTAATTAGATACGGATTAATAAATATGTTGTAGAATACATGGAAAACATAATTATTCCTCGTATTTTTGGTTTGTATTTTAAAAAATGATATAGTTTACATGAAATATACATAATATACAGTTAATAAATATAATATATACCTATTTATAGTAATAAATACTTTGGCAAATAACTATGAACCATACAAATGCAGCAAATGTTTTACAATATACAAATAATGAATAGGTACATAAGATAATGGGTAAAATGTAAAATGTATTTTAAATTTTGGGGTTTGAAAATAGATCTAATTTAACAAAAAACGTTCAATATCTACTAATAGTGATGTATTATTATTTGCATTCACAAAATTTATATGTATATTTTGCAAGTATCAATGTTCGAAAAATTATATTTGCAAATAATACCATATCATAGAAAAAAAGGCGTCAGGGATAGCTATGAAATAAAGATCGCTCTCATTTTATATGTATAATGGTTTTAAAAAAAAACGTTTCGGCTAACATTATAGCCTTCATCAGTGTTGTGTCATATAAAAATATAGTGTCGAATATAATCCAAAAAATTGCATATAAAATATTCACACCAAACCAAACCACATAATGTTTACTGCAATTAATAAACTAATATAAACTTGTCAAAAGATGACCACATATTTTTTTAAAATTATTATTCTTAACACTAAAACTATCTACATTGACTATGGAGTACGATTTCAGCCATAGTCAAATATAAGGAATAATTATGTTAGCGTGGCGTCATAAATCTCGCTCCGAGGCTGTTCTATTAGAGACGGCATTGCGTCAGCATGGTCGCAAGTTGCTAACCTAATAAAATTAACACTAGAAAAGCCCGTGGGAACTGTCAAATTCAAAGTTATTCGTTTCACAGACTATACAAGCAATAATTCATCGGCGTGCTATAAATAGTTTAAATAACATTACTTAGTTTGTACAAGAATTTCCATAATACCTAATCAGTTTTATTTTTTTTTTCAACGTTTTTCCACGTAAATGATACAAAATTTTTATAAGAATTAAAAAAATAAGGAGAGAAAAGTAATAAAAATTTAATAAAATCACGCACTACGTTTTTCAAGCTCGGTCTACTCTTTCTATCCCTATTGTGTCTGAAAAAAATTATGTAACACGAAATATTGAGATTAATTGTTCCTCAGCAAATAAAATTCTTATCTCTATCATATTAACGCATGAAAATACTTCCTACATGTGTACATATTTTTTTGTACCGTTTTTTTGCTCTCCTGTAAAATTAGAAAAAATGGAGTTAGCAGTTAATTATGGATTTCGACAACGAAAATACTTTTTTTAAAAAATTTTATTTTTCACAAAGTATGTTTAACAGATACAATGAATACAATGGTTAAGAACAGAATGACAATTTTAATGCGCTTGGTTATATTTATAAGTTCGGTTTCGCTCGCGTCTTCGTGGGAAAACCATGCTATTTCCTCTCACATAACTCCTCCCTTCTTAAATGGAAATGTGA